TGGAGCTGGCTTGCACAGGAACAGTAAAAACAAGTTTTGGTACTTCCCCCACTTTGCTTCTGCAAGCTCCATCAGCTTTTTAACAAATGCAGTCTGTATCTAAGTTACTCTTGACTCCTGAGAATCCCTTCACTAAATTAAGCAAAGATTTACTTGGGAATAAATCTTATCGAATGTAATGGGACTTTGTTAAAATGGCTTGCTTTTGAGACGTATGAGAAGGGGATGTTTTAACTGTATGTGACATGCCTGCTTGGGAAATAATGTCAGTATAATAATATAGTAAACAACCAATTAAAAAATATATCCTCACAACTTTGCAGAATAAAATCTCTTCATACTAGAGGGGAAGGGTAAAGGGGAGGAAGGGGAAGGAGGGAAGGGAAAGTACACCTCTGTCAATACAATCAAGATCAAGTGAGCTACTAATATCACTCTATAAAGCCCTAGTACAGAGGTAGTCAACCTTTTTATACCTATCGCCCACTTTTGTATCTCTGTTAGTAGTAAAATTTTCTAACCGCCCACCAGTAATGGGGATTTATAAAGTAGGGAAGTAACTTCACTTTATAAAATTTATAAAGCAGAGTTATAGCAAACCCCTACCGCCCACCATGAAAGCTAGAAGTATACCTACGTGTAGTCTTGCCAGCTGGTTCAAAAACATCGATGCAAGCATAAGCTAAAGGATCTTATAAACTGCTAGCAGATTTCTAAATGAATCACGTCTCTGAGCTTCCAAGAGAGGAAGCTACCTGATTTAATGACTCTTGGCAGAAAAGCGCTGGGCAAAAAGAGGACTGACGTTTTTAACAATGCAGCCTTACATATTACTCCGAAATATTTTAAGCGAAAGGGGTTTATTCCAAGGTATAGAGTACAGAATCACCGCCCCCTGTCTAGAATAATGATTATATACAGTGGCATAAAGCCATTGTGTATTGTAAACCTGATTTTTTTCTCCCCGACTGTGTTCAGTACAATATTTTGCTTAATTTGGCTGGGTGGAAGCTCAAGTCACACACCACAGTGGGCTTTTTTACCCGTTAGTGTAGCAAGGAGGAGGGAAGCTGTAGCGCAGAGCACGGGGCTCCAACCTGGGCCACTTTAAGACTTGTGGACTTCAACTCCCAGAATTCCTCAGCGGGCTTTGCCTTGGGAACTCTAAGACTTGTGGACTTTAACTCCCAGAATCCCTCAGCTGGCTTTGCCTTGGGAACTCTAAGACTTGTGGACTTCAACTCCCAGAATTCCTCAGTCAGCCTTGGGAACTCTTAAGACTTGTGGACTTCAATTCCCAGAATTCCTCAGTCGGCTTTGCCTTGGAAACTTTAAGACTTGTGGACTTCAACTCCCAGAATTCCTCAGCCGGCTCTGCCTTGGGAACTCTTAAGACTTGTGGACTTCAACTCCCAGAATTCCTCAGCGGGCTTTGCCTTGGGAACAGTGTTTCTCAACCTTGGCAACTTGAAGATGTCCGGACTTCAACTCCCAGAATTCCCCAGCCAGAAAATGCTGGCTGGGGAATTCTGGGAGTTGAAGTCCGGACATCTTCAAGTTGTCAAGATTGAGAAACACTGCTTGGGAACTTTAAGACTTGTGGACTTCAACTCCCAGAATGCCTCAGCCAGCAAAGCTTGGCAAAGCTTGGCTGAGGCATTCTGGGAGTTGAAGTCCAAAAGTCTTAAAGTTGCCCAGCTTGGAGACCCCTTAGCCGTAGAGCACCTGGAGAAACGCACAACAGGTGCCAGGATGAATGCTACGGAGGAACGAAGCTCAAAGGCCGGGAAAAGGCGCATGCGCTTGGGCGGTGGTGTTTCATCACATTTAGAATGGCTCTCCTCCAGTCAGACGAGCGGGAGGGGAAGGAGGGGGGGATCCGTGCACTTACCCAGCCCCAATATGGGGATGTTTAAGCCATTAGAAAGGGGGACCGTGGGCACCCGCAATGCTTTGCCGGACTCCCAGGTGCTCATCCTGACCTGCCTGCACCTCAGCACCAAAGGAACCATCCGGTCGCTGCCCTCATCGCCTCTCCGGGCCGTAAAGCAACCAGCAGAAGCCCCCCGGCAGCGCAGAGTCTTGGCTGTCGTAAAATCGTCGCAAACGGAGAGCGGTCTTTTGATTTACGGCACCCGGAAGCGAAGGCGAAAGCATGGCAAGGGAAAGAAGCGAAGGTTGAGCTCCGAGACAGGTGCGGGCGGGGAAGGGAAAGGGCAGCGCTGCGCGGGAGGGG